TAACGCCGGGCTATTCCAGCACCCAAGGCCTTTCCGGGTGGAGCTGGCCATCTCTGCAGCCCCGGACCGGGATGGGAGGGTGGCTGCGGTCAGCGCCCAGACTGTGAAGCCTGGCTCCCTGTCCCGTCCTGGGTGGGGGCTCACAAGGCCCCTCCAGCCCCAGGAGTGTCCTCATGCCCTCTCCCCCCAGCGGAGGTTGGGTGAGAGCCACTGTACACACATCCGCAAGCCTACGCTGCTCCCCACGGTCCGCCTGGGATGGCACCAGGAAGAGACCCAGCGGTGGCGCCCAAAGGCAGTGTTCAGGGGCTTGGAACCAGCCCCCCTGAAAGTCAGAAGACACCAGCCCAGCACCCCCCAAAACTCCTCGGTTCTGCACCCAGTTGGGAGATGCTGAAAGGAACCACCGTCGGAGCCCCACGGATAAGAACTCACTTTCCAGGACCCCGTGTGTGCAGAGGGTAGGGGTGGGGGCTGTGACCCTTGTGGGGACACAGGCCCTCCTCCTCCCAGTGAGACTCAGGCCAGGCTCCCACAATGCTGAGAAGGGGCGAGATGCTGGGCACCAGCTGAACACACGCCAAGCACCCAGGTCTGCAGGCTCGGTAACAGGGGCAGACCTCCCCCCACCCCGAGGCTGGCGTGGGCTCCAACACAGACACCGCTGGGAAGAGGAGCATCCCCTGCCACGGGGAGGGGAGGTGTGTCCCTAGCAGGTTGCCATGAGGTGCATGTTCAGAGAGGGAAGCTGGAGAGGACAGGTCCCAGGACTTGCTGCCCAGGTGATGGAGGAGGGAGGGGCCGGGACAGGTGTGTGGGGGCCCTGGCAGGAGTCGAGCTGGGGCCAATGCCCACCACTGGACAGACTCAGGTCCCTTGTGTTTGCCTCCTATTGAGCCCACTTAAAAAGAGGGAGCCTGGAGCGGAAAGATGAGATCTCCAAACATTCTGGAAACCTCTGGAAGAAGGCAGGCAGGGCCAGGTGATGGCCTCCAGGGACCCTAAAGCGGCCTGATGATGGGGCTCCAAACACAATGGGACACTTACTGAGCGGGGGGGGACAGCCTAGTTCGGCATCCCCTCTCTCCAAACCCTATCTTCACGCCAAGACCAGGAGACAACGTGCAGCATGCGGAGCCTGGAGACAGCCCTGAGGAAAACCTCCTGGTTCGGTTGTATGAATGGCTGTTCTCTGGAGTCCAGTACGTGAGGTGGGCACCCAGCCCCCAGGGAGGGGCCCAATCTCCAAGGGGGCCCTCCAGTATGGGTGGGGCACATGTCCCCCCAGGTTGCCAGGGCAGCCCCACTCACACCCCAAGCCCCGAAGATAAGCCTCTGGCCAACAAGGTGGCCCCAGTCCCTCTGCCCTGCAGCATGGGCCACTGGCTGGGCCTGCCCTTGGCCTGGGTATCCCTGGCTAAGTCCACTCCAGGTGGCCATGTCCTCTCCCTGCCTGTCGCCATGGCTGGGACCAGCAGCCAGTGTGTACTGGGCAGGATGTCCCTGTACCTTCTCAGGAGGGTCACAGCCACTGGTGAGCTTCCCTGCCCCTCAACCCAGTGTTTCCAGAGATGGCATGAGGGGCTAGTGGAGTGAGGGGTGCAGCAGGTCCCACTGACCCCGAGCTCAGGTCAGGAGCCCACTGGCCCCCACCAGCTCTGCCCAGAAGGGCACCGACCTGGGGACAGCAGATGGTGGGATACAAGCCCCAGGGAAGGCAGAGCCCCTGCCTACAGGCCCTGGACGCCCCACGCCTTTCCTGACCCAGAGGGTCTCTATCATGGAGCTGGGGGCCAGGACCCACATCTGAGTTGGGGGGCAGATGTCAGCACAGCTGGGGTGAGGGGCAGTGAGGGGAGGGGTGCAACTGGCAGGGAGCACAGGGCCTCACCTGATCCCGGGCCTCCTGCTGCCCTGGTGCCATAGGAGCCTCAGGCCTCCCCAGGGTGGGGGTGAGGCTGCCCCACACCAGCCAGGCCCTTGATGGAGAAATCCTGTCCTGGGACAGTGACCCTGGAAAACTGCCTGCTCCCCACCCCTGCAGGTGAGGTAGAGGGGGTGGGACAGAGCAGGGTCCCCTGGGCTGAGGAGAGTGGGTGGTGGGTCACAGTAGAGACTCGGGAAAGAGGGCTGCCCTTGGGGTCCCAAGGAAGCCTTAGGGAGACACCAGGCTGAAGGCTGCAGGGGAGAGGGAACTGCCAGGGTGTCATGATAGTCAGGGGCCCCAGGGGCCCCACTGTGAGCTGGGGCCAGCACAGTGACTCCAGGACAGGCCCTCCTGGCTCACCTGCTCCAGCTGGAGACCTGACTATGCCTGAGCCCTGGGATCCCACAGAGAAACCAGCCGCACTGCCCCCTCCTCCCTAGTAGGCCAGGTGGCACCGGCTCCTCCTGGGCAGCGCTGCACAGGGTGCTAACATCGGCCAAGTTCAGCAAGACCAGTGGTGCCTGTGGGCCGGGGCGGGAGGAGAGACGGCAGCATAAACCTGGGCACTGCCTTGGGCTAGGGGAGGTGGCACCTATCCCTGCCCCACCCCAGCCCACTCAGGATGTCAGACTGGTGAGCCCGTCCCTGCAGTAGCCGGGCAGGTGGCCAGCAGCCTTCACACCCATGGTGCCAGGCCCTAGGACTCAGATCACGTGCAGGCACTCCCACCTGGGAACCTCACAGCTGGGCCTCACTTGGTGCAGGTGCACGTGCACAGGGCCCTTCCAATGGGAAGGAGGATGTCTCTCACACTTGTGCACACACACACGAACTCATGCTCTTACACAGTCCTGCACACACACACTCATGCTCACACTGTGCACACACACGCTCTCACACACCCAGTCACACACGCAGACTCACACTTTCACACACTCACATTCTCCACACATGCAGACTCCCAGTTACGCACACACACAAACTCACTCACACAGGTGTGCACACACATAAACACACAGGAATAACTGGGCAGAGCGTGGGGGGAGCTGCCTCTGCAGGAAGAGCCAGCCTGGCCTGGAGGAGGGGTGGTGCAGTGGGAGCCGGAGTTGGGGTGCAGGCTGAGCCTCACCCCTCCCACCGGCTGGGACATGATCTTCCAGGGCAGTGCCAGTGCCAGTGGGTGCCCCTGCAGTCTGGCTGCACAGGGGTGAGGTGAGACTGCTGTGCCCCAGCCATGCCTTCCCCCCAACTCCAGGGCAGGGAGCGGGGGCAGAGCCACACCCACTGCCCAGTTGCAGCCCCCACTCTGCCCACTGACCCAGGCTCAAGGGGTGTCCAGGTGGGGACAATGGCCTCTTTCCCAGCCCTCTGGCCCAGGAGCAAGGAGGAGAGGGAGGGGTGGGCGAGAGTGGGCCAGTTGGCCATTGTGACAGCTCAGATGGGTTTGCATCTAAAACCTGCCCTGCAGGGGAATGGGGGCTGCTCTGAGGGCCCCAAAGGAGGAGCCTTCGCAGCCTGGCGGCCAGCTCCCCCACACCCCTATCCCTGAAGGATCCCCAGCTGGTCTCTAAACCCAGAGCTGCCTCATACAAAGCCCTCCCCCTCCTCTCTCCTGCCAAACCACCATCTGTTGCCATGGCAACGGAGCAGAAAAGGCAGGCAGCACTCAGAGCTCTCCCCACCCCCTTCTTTCCTGCTCCATCAGCTGGGCTGTGGGCTCAGAGCAGGCTGGTGCAGCCCCCACTAGTCCAGGAGCCCCCTGGCCCGAGCGAAGGGCCTGGCTGCAGCCCCACCAACAGCTGCGTCCTGCACAGAAGGCTCGGCAAAGCCTCCCATGACTCCAGCCTCCAAAGCCCCTCCTCTGGCCCGGCTTCAGCGCCAGCCCTGCCCCCGGCAGGACCTGTCTTGCTCTGGGGAATGGCCGATGGCCCATCTGGTCCCTGACCCGCCTCCCCTGCTGTGCACCCACCAAGGAGCGGCCCCAGGGCCAGCCAACCACCCTGCCACCCCGAGGCCAGATCCAGGGGCGAGGCACAGTCCTGGCTACTAAAGAGCAGTGCCCAGCAGGTGGCCTCACCTGCACCTGCTGCCCCAGATGAACTCCCGAAGGACGAAGGAGGCTGGGAGCGCGGGAGCCACCACACGCTCTGCAGTCAGGGGCGGCTACGGCCCCGAGGTCCCAGGTGACCAACATGCACAGCATCAGCCGCGTCAGCAGCTGAGCACATCACCGTCGTCACAGTGCAGCTCTCACACCTCCGTGAGGCTCACACAGGTGCCCCTTTGGCTGTGAGGCCTCGGGCCCAGAGAGGTACAGCCATTGGCCTGGCGGTGACCGTCCACAGCCGGCAACAGGCCTGAACTTGTGGTTTCTCTTTTTCCTTTTGTGTTTTGCTCCTGGTTTGCTCCCTGAAACCTGCTTCCCCAGCAGCCCTCACCCCAGCTGCTTTTCCACACTCGGGGAGGTGTGACTGACACCCAGGTTCCACAGAGCGTTACCGGTTTCTACCTGGGCGCACACCCTGAAACCGGCAGGCGATCAGGACAGCGGTCCCTCCTCCAGCCCCAGGGGTGCTAGTGCCCCTTTCTCACCTCTTCACCGCCTCTGCTCACTGTCACTATCAGTCTGCCTTCTCTGGACTGTCACACAGACGCATCACCACCCAGCGCGTGGCAGCTGCAGCGGTGACTCAGAGCGGCCCTGAGTGACAGGCGGGTAAATGGGGGAATAGTTACGGAAGGAGCTCTGACTTACCCACCTCGACTGTCCTCAGAGGAGCCGGGCTTCTCTAAGAAATGCAAGTGCCCAGCACACACCAGAATTCAGTGGTCATCCGCACAGGGCAGGCCTCTGAGGGCCTGGCCGGCGAGGACTCACCTGCAGAGTTTAAGGATGGTCGCCAGCAGGGCCGGCCCTCCAGGCTCAGGCGCAGGACCTGGGAGTGGGAGGTAGGTGGGGCTCGGGGTAGAAATGTGGGGGCCACAGAAGCAGGAGGCACCAGCCTGCCTCTCCTCATGCCCAGCGTCCAGGGCCACCTCCCCCGTGGATCCGGGAGATGGGGCTGGAGCCTGGGGCTGTGGCGTGAAGTCCCTATGAAGCCACGTCCAATCAGTTCCTTCCAAGGGCTGCAGTCCTGGGCCCAGCCCACAGGGATGTATGGACGCTGGACTCAGTCCCACGCGGTGGGGCTGCAGGGCTGCAGAAGGAGTAGGCTTGGGGCCTCCTCCCACGGCCACACCGGGCTGCATGGACAGAACAGGGGGGAAGGGGAGAAGGGGGGAAGGAAGTCCTGGCAAGAGACCACGCAGATCCCCCACCCTCAGGTGCTGAGGGTGAGCACTGGTGGGGAGGGGGAGGGGATTCCCTCTCCTCAGCAGAGTAGGATGCCCAGCCTTAGCAGCTCCTTGGTTGCCATGGCTACCACAGAGGCAGCAGCAGACCCAGGGGGTGTATGATGCAACAGGGTACCCTTTTTCCTCCCTCAGCACCCCACCTGGTTTCCTCCCAACCCAGCACCTACTCCCCCAGAACCAGGAGCCCCCAAACAGGCCCACCCACTGCACTCACCCTGCTCCCCTCTGCTGTGGTCCCCATGGTGTCCCTACCTCCAGACAGGGGCTCCCCCAGACACAGCAGGACCCACCCACACCTCCCTCAGCCATAGGAAGCCCACCCACCCAGCTAGTGACCAGGAGGGGAAGGGCGCCTGCCTACTCTATGCTCAGCACCACATCCTAAGGGCACAGCCCAGTGCTGGTCAGGCAACCTGAGGGCTGGGGTGGGGTGTGCTGGAGAGAGGGAGGCAGGAGGTGGAGGGAGAGCACCGCATCAGGGCACCCCCTCCACCCAGCCAGGTCACAACCCTGCCAGCCACACTCAGGTCTGGGCAGGTGCCCACGGGGACCCAACCACCTTATCTGGGCACAAGGGCTGTGAGCCCCACAGTTTCAGGGGGCGCTCACTGGGCAAAGCCATGGCAAACGGCTGCCTGGCTCCTGGGTGCCCCCTCTCAGCCATCCCGCCCAGAATGTCCCTCCTCCTCCCTGGAGGAGGGGCCACACCTCTCGAGTCCCTCGGGGAACATGACCACATTCGATTTTTACTAACCGGCTTTTCAATTCAATACTGTAAAATTAGACCAATGAGCTATCCTGATTGAACCCAGTAACTATTCCGTAATCCCATCTGGTAAACTGTGTTCTTTTTAAGCTGGTGTCCTAGTTTCAGAAGCCTCAGGTCTGGGGGTGGATGCTGGGTGGCCAGCCAGCCCTGCAGGCTGGGACAGGAAGGTGGGCGGCAGGCCTGAGGGCCCAGGGAAAGGAGGGGTCGGAGGCTAGTGGGGAGCAGGCAGCAGAGGGCCGGCTCAGGGGCTGCTCTGAAGGGAAGGCCGAGGGTCCTGCCCCAGGGGACTCAGCTGCAGCGTGAAGGCCGTGGTGTGACTGGCTGTGGTGTGATGGCCGTGGTGTGATGGCCGTGGTGTGATGGCCGTGGGAGGCGTGATTAGCGGCAGTGCCCTGACTAGCAGCTGGCCAGCCCCCAGGGACGTGTGGGAGTGTAGGTGGGGTGAGTCGTGGAGGGACAGATCCATGGTGGACAGCAGGAATGACTCAGTGTCAGTGACCCAGGGCCTGGCTGGTGAGTGCAGGAGTCCCCGGCAGAGGTGGACAGCCTGTGGTCCAGGCCCAGCCTGCCCAGCAGAGCTCTGACCGCACCAGGCCCAGGGATGGTGGGACGGTGATGGGGTTGCCGTGATGATGAGGTCGGGACCTACCCTGGGAGGCCGAGGGAGTCTCTGCCTGTCATGACACAGACAGACACACACCAACACAGACACCTCTTAGGTAGGCAGCTGCAACCCCAACCAACTCCACACAGGCTTTCTGAGTGTGGGGGGACCCTCAGGCAGGGAGCCAGGCCAACCCACTCCCAGTCTAAGCCAGGTGTAGAGACACTTCCCAGAAGCCTCCGGGACTCCCAGCAGCCTCTGCCCCAGGGTGCAGGAGCAGACCCCAGAGGCCAGACACCCTCCACCCCTGCCCGCCTTAAGCTCCTACCGGCACACTGCGTGCGCCCCGCTCTAACACAGAACACAGGCCCCCTCGTCGGCCGGCCCGCTGTGGTCAAGCAGAGGAAGGCACAGCCCACCGCGGCCTCCCCTAGCAGCCGCATCACCCGGACACCTGGGAGGGCCAGCAGGGAGGCCAGGGCTGGGATGGAGGGGGGACGGCTGCAGAGCAGGCAGCCTTTCCGGTCTGTGCCGACACCTCCTGTCTCCCCCTTGGGGTTTCTCTCTGCAGGGGCGGGGCTGAGGGCCACCCGGCACTGTCAGATTTGGGTTTAGCTGAAATAAAACCCCAGTCCACATTTAATAAACTCTCTGCTAACTTGGTTTCCCCAAAACTAGGATGGTCTCAGGTACCCCCTCCTGGCCCACCCCTGCGAGTCGGTGGGGAGTTGGGGACATTGCCACAGCCTCTCCCTAGCTCCTTCCCGGGAGAACAGCCCTCGGGTTGCCCTGGGCAGCTCTACCCAGAGGAAGGGGTGGGCCCTGGGCCTCGATTTCCTCCTCTGAGCCACAGCACAGGCATCCCGACCACAGCTTCCGGAGCTGCATGTGGGGAGCACCTGACCTGGGGAGCGGGGCCGGGGGGGGTGCGGGGCTCAGGGAACCCAGCGGCGCTGGCATGAGCCGGACACCGAGGCCCTGGGCTGAATGGGCAGTGTGCTGGGCATTCCATCTGGCCCAGGCTGGTCCTAGAGCCCAGGACAGAGCTCGGCTGAGGCACCGAAACCCAGGGCTGCTCTCTGGGGGTGAACCCGGCCCCTTTGGGGCCCTCAGCTGGATCTGCTCCCCAGACAGCCAGGCAGACACAGGCCCTGAGCCAGGAGAGCCTGCCATGCCCGGAAGGGCACCTGCGACGTAATCTCCAGCCTGGGGTAATAATAGAATCTGCTTAGCGGGCAGTGGGCAGCTTGTTCACAGGACAGAGGGAGAGGAGAGAGGCACCCGCCTGCCCACACCAGTCCTCTGACTGTTCCCAGGAGGCCCGCTGCCTGGAGTTGTCCCTGGTCACGGAGCCAGGGTGGGCCCTGCCGCCTCTGCCAACTTTTTCCCGCTTTGGGGCTGGCAGTCAGGGGGCAGGGAGGTGGGGCCAACAGAACGAGGAGCAGCCCTTCCCCCCATGTGCCAGCTACACACCCACACACACCCTCCGGCTGCGGCTCCCTGCCCCAGAGGTCTCTGCTCTGTGCCTCAGGGCCTCTGCCCTGACCTCTTAACCTTCTGGCCCTGGACCCCGAGCCCCACACCCCACAGCACCGCTGTGGGGAGACCGCGCAGCAGGCTCTCAGCACCCACATCTCTTCTCCGCCTGCAGGTCAGCCCCAGCGCCGGCCTGCGGGCACAGGCCGCTTTATGAAGTCCTGAGCCCACACGTGCCAGAGAATCCTGCAGCTCAGGGGCCCCCGCTCTGCTCTGCTCTGCTCTGCTCGCCCCATGACAGGACTGGCTGCCCCCTGCCGGGCTCTGAGCAGGGCGTGGGGGGGGGGCACAGGAGCCTTGCTCCCCCAGCGCTCAGCCCACACCTGCTTCGCAGCCCAGAGCTGGCGGCCCCACCCGTTTCTGGGGCTGCAGGCCCCTCTAGGGGAGAAGCCACGTGGCATCCAAGAGATGAGGTGCCCACGTGGGGGTCAGTACAGCCCCAGTGGTGAACCCCCGAGGCCCAGCAGTGAACCAGAGACCCCAGGGCAGTGCATGGGGACAGGGCTGCCACTGGACTCCTGTAGCCTGCTGAAGGGCAGTCACACAGTCGCTGAAGACAGCCCTCAGCAGAGAGACCTGCCACCCTGTAGTCCTGCCACTGGTCAGACCGGCCCGTGCCTCTCCTTCCCGAGGGGCTCCTGCAGTGGGCATGGGCGGCAGCTGGAGCCCCAGACCTGGCCTGGCCTGGCTGCTCCTTGGTCTCTCAGCCCAGGTAAGAGCTGTCCCCACAGAGCTCAGCCAGCTTCCCAGAGGTGCCCCTCCCCCAGCACCAAGAGAGACAGGGCTGCTGAGCAGGCCTGAGTCAGCACAGAACCCAACGTGAGCCACCTGGGCCCAGCAGGCCACCTGACTTTGGTGACTCGGGACACTGTGGGCCCTGGAGGGAGGGGCAGGGAGTAAGACTGTGAGGTCAGGGCCCAGGCCCCTCAGCCCCCGCCAGGCCCAGAGCATCTCTCGGGCCCACAGGACTGAGTGTCAGGCTGGGTCCCCAGGTCCTGGCTTCAGTCTGACTCCCTTGCTGGCCATCTGCCCCCCTAACCTGGCTCCCAATGGAGGCAGCACCAGCGTCACCCACAGTGACCCATGGACCAGGGGTGGCATGGGATGAGGTGAGGACCAGCCACCTTCCTGGTCTCTGGGTGTGGGACAACTACTACTGTCTCCGAGTGACCCATCTGGGCCCATGTCCCCCTCTCACAGTCACCAGGGCAGGGGCTCAGCATGTGCACTGCAAAGGAGGTGGCACGACACAGGGCCCTGAGGTCAGAGTCCAGGGCTGGCTGACCCCAAAGGAAGCACCCCACAGGAGGCATCAGAGGGGTGGCGCAGACATGGGCCTGTCCCCAAGGCGGGGGGACACCCCCCAGGGCACCCCTGCAGTCCCACCAAGCTGAAGGCACTTATGCCCCGGGGCCCACAGCCCTCGTCCATGCAGACGCCCCCGCTGCCCCCGGCATCGCTGGGGGTGCCCTATCTGCACCACCCTTTGGGGTTTGGGGCTTTGAGTCAGCAAGCCTCCTATCTGAGCTGAGCCTCCGCCTCAGAGAGAAGCCAGCACCAAAACCCTCAATGGTGTCCTCATACCCTCCCCAACAGGGAACCCTCCCCCCCCCCACGGCCTCAGGCCTTCAGTGGGAGATCCCCCAGCCCAGCACTTAGCCCAGGATGGTGATTTGGGGTGGGAGGGTTGGGTGAGGTTGGCTCCCTGCGTCCAGTGCCCCAAAGCCTGGCCCACAGCTGGTGGTCCCTTCGGCCTCCCCAAGGCCATCCA